TCAAGCAGTTCCGAGTCAGAATTAAATCTAGAGTGTTGCCAGCTTTTGGGTAGGAGGAGTTGGGACCTGCGTGAGGTCAAATGAGGATAGGAGAGCAAGGAAGTCTGTTGCCTGGGCTTTATCAGTGCGTATATTCATGTCTCCCATTACAATCCATGGTGTTCCATCATCAGGGATTTCTGAGAGTAGCATGTCCAGTTCCACAACAAAATCATTCAGATTACACCCTCTTTGGCGGTAAATGATAGCAATGTACATTCTAATAGGAGCAGTGACCAAGATTGTGTGATATTCAAATGAGTTGTTGCTCAGTGGGAAGAGTTTATTGAATTTCCAGGTATTAGAAATGAGGATACCTGTACCATCTCCACGTCCAACAGAGCGGGGTGTGTGTGAGAACACTGTGTCAACAGAAAGAGCAGCTGTGCCTGTATTTTCTGGGCAGATCCAGGTTTCAGTAAGGGCAAGTTCCTGAATGTCTGACATTTTTGCAAGTGCTTGGATGAATTCAGTTTTATTCACAGCAGACTGATAGTCCCAGAGACCAAAAGTAAATGAAGGGTGGGTAGAAGAGGCTTTCTTAAGCAGAGATTTCATTGTCTATGACAGATGTGTCTTTTCCTGTTCCCATGAATGACAGAGATTTCTTTGTAGCACATGTTGCGTTTAGCAGATGACCAGAGAAAATAAGCAAAGCAGTAGTCGTGGATGCTCAGGCTCTGTGGCCACGCTGAAGCGTCAGACGCCCCAGATTTTCAGCTTGCAATCAACAGAGGGTGTGACACGCGTCAACTGCCTCTCCTGTTGATGCTCAGAGAATGAAACTCAAGTGCTCAGTCCAAACAAAGCCTGACAACGACCCACTATCAATATCTACTCAAAGCAAGTTTCGATTCACCCACCTAGCTGACAAGACCTTCCTAGTTTTTAGATCAGAGCTTGTTCTGACACGCAGTTCATTGAGTGTCCACTTCAGGCTGGCTGCAGAAGCCCAGGAAAATCACATACACACCCCATTCAAACTTTGAATTGCCTTGTTGCTGAAATGTGCTATATAAATAAACTTGCCTTGCCTTGCCTTTATGCTAGTAGACATAATCATTCCCGCTTTATAATCTGCCAGAACTTCAGTGTTTTTCTGCAGGACCACAGGCCATAGGTCTTATATAGTTGCTCTCCACTCACAATATAAAGAAAACTCTTATATATTATATGTATTCAAGTATTGGCCAGGCTTGAATACATTTTGTTGATCAAGAAGTGAGCACTATTATAATAATTATTATCAGATGAAAGTTTTAACACATTAATAATTTCCTATTGAAGGCTCAAAACATCTTGAGATTATTTGTTTTGGCTAAGCAGAGACAGGCTTGTCAGCAACCCAGGCATCAGCAGACTGTAAAGCAGTTCTTACAAGTGCTTTCGGGGGAAAATCTGACCTTTCTGTTAAAAGTTAAAAAGTAAGTAAGACCTTGTGAAAATAACATGTTTTCCTGTTTCAGGTAAGCGGCTGTGTCTTGGTGAGAACCTGGCAAAGATGGAACTTTTCCTTTCTTTCACCTCTTTTATGCAGCACTTCACCTTCTCAATGCCTGCTGGGGTAAAGCCTGTGTTGGACTTTGTCTTTGGGATCACTCTGGCACCATGCCAGTATGAAATCTGTGCAACCTCACGCTTAGAAAAGCTTTAATTGACAAATTATACTCTTTAAGACTTATAACTGTGATTGAGTTAATTTCTTTCCACAATTGATTTTGGCCTACGTTGTAACCTTTCATTTGAGCTTTTGGCAGTAGTTGTGATCCTCTAGTTTAAGGGACTTTGTCTTAGGCCATACATTAATCTCACATTTACACAATTTGCACAATGCTTGAGCAAACAAAAAAAAAAAAAGGTATTTCCTGTCATTTACAAAATCACACATCACAATATGACACCATTATGTATAGTCACATTTAATAGGTTTTAGCTAGGCCTACCTTATAAAAATATGGCAAATAATGAAACCACACATAATTTATTTTAAGGACTATTTATATCACAATGCTAACAACAATTTATAGTGTAGAAAATTGGTTCAAAGATTGTTTTCAGAATACGTCACAGAGCATATAAACAAGCTTGAGGCAAATAGAGGCTTTATTAAAGTCTTGACTGCTTTGAACATCTCATTCAATTTCTTGTGCCATGCCTTATTATGTTTCCCCAAATGTTGTCTGTTGGTTGTTTCCTCAGGGTGAGATGCAAATGCTTCACCTGCCCTTCCTCTGTGGACACTGGATTTTGTAGCCCACTCTGTAGGCTTGCAGGTACACACGTGCCTGGTTTATTCTGGAAGCAGACAAAGCATTGTCATAAATGATTATACTCAGATGTAACTCTTCAGTTTCACCTCTTGGGATCTATCTCTTTATATATCATGATTCTCATATTGAACACCTTATATTTGCTTTGTACATAGGGTTTCAAATTGAGCTTGAACTACTTTTTACAAATACTTTCATAGTATATTTTATTCATGTCAATATGCCTTATATTTCAGTAAATTCATGTGAAGAAGAAAGTGAGATGTAGGAAGGTTCTCAGCAAGTCCTCGGAAGTCCATTGAACTTTGTAGGAAACAGCTCTGCAATAAATCAACACCAATCTGTTTCTTCAAAAAGATGAAACAAACATAATTAAGTATAATCCAGATTAAGGGGACGAAATAAGGAAACATGTTACTTGTATTTAGTGCAAACTGAACTCCAAGGGGTCCACACCGGTCAACATAACTTTCCCTAAAGGCCTTTCTCACTGCCCGAGCCATGCTGACCACAGTGGTGACCACAGGGCATGTCCTAGGAAAGACACAAACACTCAAATCCATGAAGAAAAGCTACAGTGTTCTGAAGACATTACACATGTGTATATGTGGGTAATCAAGGCAGATAGTGGAAAACCTGCTGATCGATTCTTATTGATTCTCAGCGTTTAAGTCTTTTGAGTGTTCATACTCACAGTTTCTCACAGCGCAGGCCTGCTGTGCCCTCAGGACAGGAACAGTGTTGTGAGGACTGCAGGTAGCCCCATGTTGGCAGGGTGGTATACAGGGGGTGGTCACAGCTGTAGACGTAGCACACAGCATGACTCTTAATGTAAAGGCTAATAAAGGTCTAAATACTCACACCACACACAAACACAAATACTAACCTGTTTCACATAAGTCTCCAGTAAATCCTTTGGCACATTGGCACCTGTTGAGGCCCACACAAACTCCACCATTCTTACAAGGTTTGTGACACACAACAGGCTCTGTTGGAGACATAAAAAAATAAAATTTTGACCCCTGGCAGCTGAAGGCCCCCTTTTAACTGATCAATTGAATCCATCTTTTTTTTTTTGCAGAATGAAAGTGTAACAGGCCTTTTTAGGGGCATATTATCCTATCCTTTGATGTCATATTTACAAGAATGGTAGAGAAAGAGGACATATTCATTGACACACAACCCTCATAGACATAGAGTCTCTCCAGGGGTTATTGCCCGCCTGAACGCTTGAAACTGGAATGAAAAACACACATTTAAACTGGGTCATCAGTATTTAATCTGGACTGCAGCTGGACTGTGCTTGGTTTGTATAGTAAACGGCCTGTTGAGCAAGAGTTCAACAATTCTCTTTGATCAAAGATTATTTAAAATCTCCATTCTAAAGCCTCAATTATTTTTTGGTAATTACTGCTTCATACATTAATTCCAATCTGATAATCTCTAGAAGCCTTCAGATTAAGTTTGACAAACAATAAATGTTACAGATTAACTGGGCAGGAATTTCCTCCTCTGAGACTGTTTCAGCTTCAGGTTATAGAGGACATGAAGAAAAACAAGTAAGTATCTGAAGTATTCCCCACAGGAGAAATAAGAGTATAATAAAAATGTGTAAATGTTTGATAGAACTGTTTTTTGGATTGGATTTACTGCCATAAAATGGACATTGTGTTTATGTGTACAGTTTTTATTTTCACGTGATTATGGTCAATGAGGGTCCATTTGGATGTTTACTGTAAAGGTTGTTTCCAAAAGGGAAACTGCTGTCAGAAGCCAATAATAATACTTACCTCTCAAAGGTTAATACACGGAACATACATGCCATTGTCATCTTTCACTCATAACATGCATAAAATATACAAGAAGCAGGAATAAGTGAGTATGCAGCATCAAAAGTAGGAAACAACCAAAATCCGGCTTTGTTTAAAAAGCCTCAAAGCTCATGAAATAAAAGAACAAATGTAGCGCCAAGTTTCTTCTCTAAAGCATCTGTCCTTATCATCGCTGCAACACCTGTTGGTTTGCCATTCGCCAGGCAAACTGAGGGACGAGGGGCAATACTGCCGTGTAGGGGTGCCGTCTACCTATCTGGTCAAAACAAAATCTAACCATTCCGCACCTTCGTGGAAACTTAGGACATGCTGGCTGCTTCGTTGTTGCCAGAGAAGCCAGCACTTTCCTTTCAGTCTATTCTTATTATTTAATTCACTAAATATCTAACATATTAGACCTCTAAAATGTGAGTTTATCGTAACTCCTGTATGTAAAAAGGATTTTTTTTATTTCAGTATCTATAGCTAGCTATGAATGCAGTGGGTGTAATCTTACCTCTCTGACACGAGCGCCTTGCCATCCACCAATACATATGCATTGGTTGACATCTACACATCTTCCCCCGTTCAGACAGGCAGGAGTGCACAGGGCTGCAAAAACAACCAGATAGAAGTCATTCTCTGCAGGAACATGGGAGTAAACTAAACAGCATAATCTTAGTTCTTCCTTTTTGTTTATCTATAAACTTTCAGTACAACCTAATTCTTACCAGGCACTACTCGGGGGGGGGGAGGGGTAGAAATGATTAGCTACCAGCCTACCACACAGAAGTCTCTGCATGTCTGGTGTAACTATGCCAGATGTATTGGTGGTTTGTGTCACTCACGTAAAGAGGCATTGGGGGCCGGTGTAATCAGAGGACACTGGCAGGTATTGGGCCCCACACAGCGCCCACCGTTAGCACAGGGCAGCTCACACATCGCTGAGCAAGACACACACAGAAATAGACAAATAACAAATGATAGGAAAAGATGTATCAACCATACTTTTTTTTGATCAATATAAAAAAAAAAAAATATATATATATATATATATATATATATATATATATATATATATCCTCTTGTGTATAGACACAGTCTCTTCAGTGTGTGATGGTACAGAAGTGGGGCATTTTACAGGGACATCCTGGTCAGAGGTGACATACCTGTGTGGCAGCCAGCACTGGTCCAACCAGGAGGACACAGGCACTCGTTCCAGCGCATACAGGTGCCTCCATGAGCACAGGGCGGGGAGCACATGGCTAAAAACACACAACCAGCATGGTTTAGTACAACCATGTTTCACAGCAATGTTACATTTTTTCATTTACAGAACTAAATAGGCATACAATCAGCACTTACTTTTAAGTAAATCCATTCCCAATCTTTCACAAGGATATGAATTGTTACCAATGATTTTTGCCAACAACATAACAGACAAATGAAATCTGCTGGGCTTTAGAAAGACCTTTTGCATGCAGTGGTCTTCTGCAACCAAATATTATATCTGCAGTAAACACAGCTGTGTAAAAAATACATGAAATGCAATTATTTTTGAATATCATACTTTAACCAGTAATGCATTATAGATTGGACCATGTTTTTTTTAATCAGTTTAATCAATTTTGTTTGGTTTATTTTGGGGGGTTTTCAGGCCTATATAGAGTGGACAGGACAGTGGATAGAGTCAGAAACAGGGATGAGAGATTGATTGATGAGGGCCGAGGGTGGGAGAGGGTGAATTTTGGGCAGCGCTTCAAGGGCCTCTGTAAACAGGACACTGGATATAACCAATGAGCTTTAGTGCATTGCAGCTTATAGGCTGAAGACATACAGAGTTATACGTTTCTAAACCATGGCTAATAGTATGTTTTGTCTCTCTTAGTGTTATGTCCTCAATCGAGTGATGATGGCACATTGTGGACTATGTCAATTTTAGTTTTGGGACTAATGCTACCCTTACTGTATGATTTAGTTATTTAAGTATCCACTGATGGCTAAAAGCTGTGAAATTAACACCTATAACATATAATAAACATATACAGCATTCCATATTCTTACCTAAGCAGCCGAGTCCAGGGTAACCTGGAGGACAGTCACAGCTGTTTGGGGCCACACACACTCCTAGTTTTGACAGGGAGGCTCACACACAGCTGGAACGGCAGAGAGGTAAAAAGGGAACAAATCAAATAATAGACTCTTAATAAAGTCCTTTTGCTTACATGCTTCATGATTGACTCGGACATGATTGACTCTGAATGTTTGACGTTTGACTCACGCTTGCACTTTGTGAGGTCGTCCGTTTGTACTTGATACCCTTCTCTGCAGGTGGCAGTTGAATCCCTGGGTGGTTCAAACAGAGCTGCTCACAGCCTCCGTTTCGTAAGTCCCCACACTCATTCACACTTATAACCAAAAAAACAGAAGGATAGTTATGATTTTCAAAAGGTTTTCATTTGTACATTTTAACAAACCCAAACAAACAAAATCCAGAGTCTATTCATTTTATTTTCCGGCTGATCGACCACCTGATACCGCTGATACGGAGTTGTCACAGCTAAAGCGCTCAGAATAATCAGCTGTCAGCAGACATTCAAACTCATATGGCATTTCATCGTATTAACACCGAGGCCTGGCAAATGTAAATGTATTTAAAAAGTTTATTTCAGCTGTTTATACCTTTTCAGTTCCGCCCTGTTATTATCTAAAGGACCAGAGCAATAATGTGTATGTGCCTGATGAATGCTTATATGTTTACTTTAAGAAATGGCCAAGGCTA